AAGCCTTAGGTAGTAAAAACAAAACTTATCTTAGTAGAACAATACAAAACTTATCTTAGTAGAACAATAACAGATCGCACTCTTTTCTCTCTAATCCTGTCTACACTTGTAATTTACAGGTAGGACAATGGTGGAACTGTTCTTTCTTGTAGTTTTCTTCAAGACTTTGACGTTTTTTCTCTAGAAGAAGCTCTTGTATAATGTTTCTAGGAGTATCAAGAAACTCTTTCTCCAATATTACATTTGAGAAATTTGTGATTATGAAGTCCCGTGAAGAATCCAGCAGTGGTACTAAATTATGAGCTACAGCTAACCTGTGTTTAGAAAAATATGGAATTTATATTGAATACTGTACGTCAAAAATGGTAAAGTTTACAAAATTAGAATATTTTTTAATAATTTACTTAATAATTTACTTACATACCTGTATAATTTTAAAACATTGGATGACTGAAGTTCACTTGTGAGAAAGGCCGCGCAAACACATACAGCATGGTGAACTTTCAGAATGTTTGCAGCAACTATTAACTCTTGAGCATTTTCCGTTGTTATCTCAATGTTTCCTAAAGATTTAAAATATTAAAATAAATTTTTCATAATAAATAAAATAAAAATACCGTTTTACATATAGCAATATGAAAAACATGTGTTTTTTACATATATGACAAACATGTGTTTTTCCTTTTATCTTACCAGTATACATGAATCGAATGATCCGAATTAATATATTGGATTTCATAAACTTCATTTCTATTGAAAAAGACTGTGTTGTTTCCTCAGCTAATCCACCAGTAAACATATCCTTAAAATATTCACTTCCCGCCGAGAGTATTACACGATGAGCCTGGAATAAAATGTTTGTTGTATACAGTATATAAAAATCTTCTTCACTTTTTTATTCATTTCAGACAAAGCTAGTTAAAACAACTTAATATACTAGCAAATTTTCTTACCTTCACAATTGATCCATCAGCTGATGATATTTCTACATCACAGAACTGTTGTTTCTGCCAGAGTGAATGTAAGTTCTCTAGCAAGTCATTCGGATAAGAGAGCTCCACCTCTAGGAAGTCGTTCGGATAAGAGAGCTCCACACGTGCCGCCATTTCATATAAAAGACCTAATATACCTGTGATTACTCGGTACCCCAATTATAACGTTTTCTCAATATATATACTACATCTCAGTTAAAAATTACCAGATATCACTACCCACCACCAGACAACTCAACTCTGGATGAATAGTATTACATTTGTTTATTAGTAATATATGAGGATGCACGTGTGGAATTCTCTGATAATGGGGAGGGGGAATGTAAATCTAACCTGCTAGAAAACTTACATTCACTCTGGCAGTTACAAAAGTTTTGTGATGTAGAAATATCATCAGCTGATGGATCAATTGTGAAGGTGAGAAAACATTATTTTTTAACTGAAATAACTGTAAAAACTGTCGTCGTCTTTCCTGTTTGTACTTAACACAACTATTTTTATTATTTCAGGCTCACCGTGTAATACTTTCGGCGGGAAGTAATTATTTTAAGACAATGTTTACCTGTGGATTAAGTGAGGAAACAACACAGTCTTCTTCAATAGAAATGAAGTCTATAAAATTTAATATATTAAAACAGCTCATCGGATTTATATATACTGGTAAGGATAAAGAAAAACTTTTTAAAAGTTAATAGAAAGTGAGTAATGTAAAACTAAAAACGATATTTTTTATTTTGTTGATAGATTGTTTTTTTAAAATCTTTAGAAAACATCGAGGTAACAGTGGAAAATGTTCAAGAGTTAATTGTAGCTGCAAACATACTTGAAATTCACCATGCTGTACGTGTTTGTACAGACTTTCTTAAGAGTGAACTTCATCCATCCAATGCTTTAGGAATTTACAAGTACGGTTTTATGATTCAGTTCAGTTGATTATGTTACCTATATGTACGTACAATAAATAAATCTATTAGGAATAAATCCATTGTTTTTGTTTTTTAAACAGGTTTGCTGAGGTCCATTATTTAGTAAACCTGCTGTCTGCTTCGCAGGACTTCATCTTTTCTAATTTTGTAGAAATTACAATGGAACAAGAGTTTTAGGAATAATTTGACTCAACTTTCTTTCTCTTCTCTTCTTGATACTTCCCCAAGCTCAAGAAGCTCAAGAATATCTAACAGAGAAATTTAAGAGTCCTCTTCTTCTTCTTCTTCATTCTTTTCAACAAACACACACTTAAAATAAAAATAAAAACTGAAATTAATGTATAGTTTTTACTTATCCATCCCAAGCTGCTGTACATTCAACACTACCACTATTTATAAAAGAACGCTGGTGATGATTAGTATTAACATTAGTATTTGAGAATGGCAGCGGCACATGTGGAGCTCTCTCATAACGAGAAGGAGGAGGAGGAGGAATGTAAATCTTATCCGAACTACCTGCTAGACTACATACATTTCCTCTGGCAGTCACAACAGTTATGTGATGTAGAAATATTATTAGCTGATGGATCAGTTGTGAAGATGAGTGAGTAAGAAATTACATAAAATCACACTTAAAAGTATATCCTCAATCAATCTATGTACCTTCCCCCACTACTTTTACAAAAATCTGATGGGGATTACATTTTATTCCACAGGTACTGGTAAGGGAAAATATTTTAAGTTTTCATAGTAGGTTATGCTGCTATCTATATGTAAAATTTTTATTTTGTTGCAAATGAATAAATGAAATTTTTTTCTTTTTTTGTAAAAATACTTTAGGAAACATCGAGATAACAGTGGAAAACGCACAGGAGTTAATTGTGGCTGCGAACATGCTGTTCATGCCCCGTGCTGTACTTGTTTGTACAAAATTTCCCAAGAGCGAACTTGATCCATCCAATGTTTGGGGAATTTACAGGTAACGAATTTTTATTTTGTAAATTTTTTTATTTTGTTCTGTTCTGTTTTAATTTGATTGATTCTGATTCGATCTAATCCGATTCTAGAGAGGATGTGTTCCTTTTTTTTTTTACAGGTTTGCTCAGGCCTATTATTTAGTAAGATTGTTGAATGATTCGCGGGACTTCATCTTCTCCAATTTCATAGAAGTGACAATGGAACGAGAGTTTCTTGAGATTCCTAAAGAAACTCTACTATATTTTTTAGATTCGGAGTATCTTCATATTGACTCTGAGTTTCAGGTAAATATTAGATATTTTTCTTTTTATTTAATATTTATTTATTGAAAATTTTATTCATTTTTTTTTTTTTATTGCAACTCTCACTTTCTTTTTCTTTTCTTTTGTTATATTGCAGGTATTCTCTGCTGCCATCAGATGGATTAGTTATATATGAGGATGGCGGCGGCACGTGTGGAGCTCTCTGATAACGGAGAGGAGGAGTGTAATTATCCTTATCCAAACAACCTGCTAGAGAACCTAAATTCGCTCTGGCAGTTACAAAAGTTCTGTGATGTAGAAATATCAGTTGATGGATCAGTTGTGAAGGTGAGAAAACATTATTTTAACTTTTTTATTATTTTTTGTCAATAATTGAAAAAAAATATCTTGTATATGTACAACCAACCAAATTCTTTTATTATTATTCCAGGCTCACCGTGTAATACTCTCGGCGGGAAGTAATTATTTTAAGGCCATGTTTACCTGTGGATTAACTGAGAAAACAACATATTCTTCAATAGAAATTAAATCTATGAAATTTAATATATTAGAGCAGATCATCGGATTCATATATACTGGTAAGTAACATTTCAGTTTTCATATTTATAAAAAAAAAAACGGTATTTTTATTTTGTTACTTATATCTTAATCTTTAGGAAACATCGAGGTAACAGCTGAAAACGTTCAAGAGTTAATAGTTGTTGCAAACATGCTGGTAGTTCCCCACGTTGTACGTATTTGCACAGACTTTCTCAGGAGTGAACTTCATCCATCCAATGCTTTAGGAATTTACAGGTAACGTGACTAATTTTTATTTTGTAATTTTTTTATTCTTGTTCGGTTCTGTTTTAATTTGATTAATTCTGATTCGATCTGATTCGATTCTAAAGAGGGTGTGTTTATTTTTTTTTTTTTACAGGTTTGCTGAGGCCTATTATTTAGTAAGCTTGTTGAATTGTTCGCGGGACTTCATCTTCTCCAATTTCGTAGAAGTGACAATGGAGCAAGAGTTTCTTGAGATTCCTAAAGGAACTCTACTATATTTTTTGGATTCGGAGTATCTTCATATTGACTCTGAGTTTCAGGTAATTATTAGATATTTTTCTTTTTATTTAATATTTATTTATTAAATAAAAAATCTAATTTTTTTGTGGTTTATTGCAGCTAGCTCACTTTCTTTTTCTTTTGTTATATTGCAGGTATTCTCTGCTGCCATCAGATGGATTACACAAGAAATAACTGATAGACTTTGTTGGATTCTTGACATTTTAAAACGAGTAAAATTATCTTTAATTTCAAGTAAACTAATAGAAAAATCAATTAATGAGTGCTCTGACATCAGATTGAAAGTTAACCTTAAACAGCAGATAAATTTGGCTAAAGAGGAAGCCTCCTTTTATGTCCAGCCAAGAATTTGTACTCGAAAGAAAATTTATGTCATAGGTGCAAGGAGCAAATGGAGTAGATTCAAGAAGTTTAAATATTTTAACTTGTGTAAAAGTGTAGAATGTTTTGATACCTTTAGGAAGGAATGGCAGAAAGTTTGCCCGATGAAAAAAAAAAGTGAAAGGCCAGAAATAGCAGTCTTACATGGGAAAATTTTCGTTGTTGGAGGGAGGGGACCCAGACCCTTTCCGATTTTGGCGGATGGCGAAGTTTATAATCCACAGGAAGATAATTGGACTGGGATATCTTCTATGGTTACCCCACGATGTGATTTTGGATTATGCGCTCATGGAGATTACCTTTATGCCTTCGGTGGTTGGACGGGATCGGTCGTCGAAAAAAGTATTGAAAGATATGACCCTATTACAGATGAGTGGAGATTATTAGAATCAAATATGCCAGAAGCTAGAAAAAAGTAAGTACAATTGTAATGTTAAAAATCAACCATTTTCAAATTAGATTTACTGACTAATAGTAACTGATAATGAGAAAATGTAGCAGTAGCCTGTACTGTTTTTTTTTTCTTTTTCTCCTTTTCTTTTCTTTTACAGGATGGGAATAGTAGAACATCGAGGTCTTATTTACATTATTGGTGGATATACGTACACTTACAATCCCCTGCATGATCTTCTCTCATACAATCCTGTGACTGGGGAGTGGAAGAATCTAGCACCAATGCTAGGTCCACCATCTAAGACGATAGGCGTTGCAGTTTTAGATAACTTTTTGTACGTAGTAGGTGATAATAATGGGAAAAAATCAATGGAAAGATATTCTTTTGAACAGGTAAGATTATGAGATTATATACGATAAAGTTTGAATTTTCAATTTATAATACTTAGTGAAAAGGGATAAAAAATTTATGACCTCCCTCCCTTCCTTTTACCTTTTTTCTTTTACTTTCTCACAGAACAAATGGTTTAAGTGTTCATCAATGTATTTCGGTCATAGCCCAGCAGTTGTTGCTACAAATTCTCTGTTATATGTCATAGGCGGTGACTACAGTAGAAATTATAATAGCCTGGTAAGGAAGAATGAAAAGAATGCTTAATGAAAAATGATAATATTTATTAATAATCTTTATAATCCAAAGTTTTAACCTCAAACTATTTTTTTTTCTTTTTAGATATCTGTCGCTAATGTGGAGTATTTCGACCCTAAGAATAATAGGTGGATAAACTGTACATCACTCCCTGAGGGTCGGTCTGATGCTAGAGCAGTTTCAATTTGACAATCTTATCTGAACTACCTACTGATGTAGAAATATTATCAGCTGATGGATCAGTTGTGAAGGTGAGCGAGAAATATATTTTTTGCATACAATCACATCAGCTGCCTCACTTATGGGAAGACTGCCACAACCATCCCAGAGACAAATAAAAAAAAATCTGATGTGCCCTTACACTTCCTCACTCTCCCTTACACCCCCTCACTCTCCCCTCCTTCTAGTCACAGCCCAGCCGGCATTTGATATTATTAACATAAAATGAACCGGAAACTTGATATCTCTTCTCTCCCAAGCTCAAGATCAAGAATATCCCACGAGAAACTTTAAAGTCTCTTCATCCTCCTCTCATCTCTCTTCAACACACACACTTAAAATAAAAAAATAAAATACTTCTGTTGCTGGCTGTAGTTTATAGTTGTTACTGTTTGAAGAAGCAACAGAAGAATCACCACCACAACCACCACCACTACCACCACCACCACCACCATCACCACGGGTATTACCAGATATCACCACACCACCACTAAAAACAAAACTGACAACTGGTTAGTATTACATTAGTATCTGAAGATGGCGGCTGCACATGTGGAGATCTCTCATTACGAGGAGGAGGAGGAGGAGGAGTGTAAATCTTATCCTAACTACCTGCAAGACTGCATACATTTCCTCTGGCAGTTACAACAGTTATGTGATGTAGAAATATTATTAGCTGATGGATCAATTATGAAGGTGAGTGAGTGATATATCTTTCTCTGCCCTCCATCACCCAAATCTTAAAAAACAAAAACTGATGGATTACATTTTATTTCACAGGCTCACCGTGGAATACTGTCAGGAGGAAGCGATTATTTTAAGACAATGTTTACGTGTGGATTTGCTGAGAAAACAACACAGTCAATAGAAATGAAGTCTATGAAACCCAATATATTACAACTGCTCGTCCACTTCATATATACTGGTAAGGGGAAACATTTTAAGTTTTCATAATGCTGCTATACTTATATTTAAATTAAAACGAAATACATTATGAATAAAAAACTTTTTTTAATACTTTAGGAAAAATGAAGATAACAGTGGAAAATGCACAGGAGTTAATTGCGGCTGCGAACATGCTGATGATGTCCCGTGCTGTACGGTTTTGTACAGACTTTCTTAAGAGTGAACTTCATTCATCTAATGCTATGGGAATTTACCGGTATGTGCAGTATAATAATTAATTATTTTCAAACTATTTATATAATACGACGTAACTAATTCCATATTGTTTTTTTTTTAAACAGGTTTGCTAAGGCCCATTATTTAGTAAGGTTGCTGCATTCTTCGCGGGATTTCATCTTTTCCAATTTCGTAGAAGTGACAATGGAGGAAGAATTTCTTGAGATTCCGAAAGAAATTCTACTGTATTTTCTTGAGTCAGAGTATCTTCATATTGACTCTGAGTTTCAGGTAAAATAATTTTTTTTATTTAATATTACAAACTTTCAACTGACTTTATATAATAAAGTTTTAATCCCCAACTATCAAAATTAACTTTCTCTATTATTTATTGCAGGTATTCTCTGCTGCTATTAGATGGATTACACGAAGAACTAATAGATATGGTTGTTGGTATTTTGACATTTTAAAACGAATGAAATTATCTTTAATTTCAAGTAAACTAATAGAAAAATTAATTAATGAATGCTCCTCTGATATTAGATTTAAGGTTAACCTTAAACAGCAGACAAACTTGGCGGCCAAAAGGGCAGCCTTATATGTCCAGCCAAGAATTTGTACTCGAAAGAAAATTTATGTCATAGGTGGATTAAAGAAAGAAAACTATTACCAAAATAAATTTAAAAAAAGTGTCGAATGTTTTGATATCTTTAGGCAGATATGGCAGAAGGTTTGCCCCATGAAAATTGTGAGAAATTCACCAGGAATAGCAGTCTTACATAGAAAAATTTTCGTTGTTGGAGGGATTGGAAAGGAGAGTCAGATTTTGACGGATGGCGAAGTTTATAATCCACAGGAAGATTATTGGACTGGAATATCTTCTATGGTGATCCCACGGTGTAATTTTGGATTATGCGCTCATGGAGGTTATCTCTATGCCTTCGGTGGTTGGATGGGATCGGTTATGGAAAAAAGTATTGAAAGATATGACCCTATTACAGATGAGTGGAGATTATTAGAGTCAAATATGCCAGAAGGTAGATCCAAGTAAGTACAATAACAATTTTCAAATTGGATTTACTGACTAATAGTATGAACACTGATAATAATGAGAAAATATAACAGTGCCTATACTTTTTTTCTTTTTACAGCATGGGTATAGTAGAACATCAAGGTCTTATTTACATTGTTAGTGGATATATGGACTTTTACAACCCCATGCATGATCTTCTCTCATACAATCCTGTAACTGGGGAGTGGAGAGCACTAGCAGGACGTGCTCCACCTCGCTACAACTACATGGGTGTTGCAGTTTTGAATAACTTTTTGTATTTAGTGGGTGGCCTTCTTTTTAATGAAGAAGCGGAAAAATCACTAGAAAGATATTCTTTTGAACAGGTAATATTGAATTACAGTAGTGAAAAGGGAGTAAAAATTGTATAACTCCCTTCTTTTCTCTTTCCCAAGACAACAATAATGATTTAAGTATATTGAAGAAGAATTTTTGTAATACTGTATGTAGTGTAATGAAAAGAGGGAGTAAAAATTGTATAACCTCCCCTCCCTTCTTTTCCTTCCACAGAACAAATGGTTTAAGTGTTCATCAATGAATTTTGATCGAAGTATCCCAGCAGTTGTTGCCACAAATTCTCTGTTATATGTCATAGGAGGTCACCGTCAAAATAACCTTAATAGATTGGTAAGAAAGGGAGAATGGCAATGGAAGAATGAAATGAATTAATTATATGGAATGAATTATATTACAATTTTAACCTTCTAACTTTTTTTTTAGGTATCTGTCGCTAATGTGGAATATTTCGACCCTAAGAATAATAAGTGGATGAACTGTACATCACTCCCTGAGGGCCGGTCTTATTCTAGAGCAGTCTTAATTTGACTCCCTAAACCTTCCTCAAGACTGATATTATCTTCATATTTCCATTTAAAAAGGTTTGCTTTCTATCTTTTAATTTAACTTACCTAACATGAAATTTGAAAGTATCCTTATAATTAGTATCTGAAGCTGCATGTGTGGTGGAGCTTTCTCATCACGAGGAGGAGAAGGAGGAGGAGGAATGTAAATCTTATCCTAACTACCTGACGATATACATTTCCTCTGGCAGTCAGAAAAGTTATGTGATGTAGAAATATTATTAGCTGATGGATCAGTTGTGAAGGTGAGTAAGTGATACTTTAGGAAACATCGAGATAACAGTGGAAAACGCACAGGAGTTAATTGCGGCTGCGTAGTAGACTAAAATCAATCAAATTTATCTACTCTTTTTTTGACATTTTGAAACAAGTGAAATAAAGCTTATCCTTAAAAACATACAGTAGCAGCAGCAGCAAAACTTTTGTCCAGCCAAGAATTTGTACTCGAAAGAAAATTTATGTTATAGGTGGAATTAGATACAGATCAAATGAGTATACATTGAAAAGTGTCGTCGAATGTTTTGATACCTTTAGGCAGAAATGGAAGAAAGTTTGACCTTGAAAATTGGAAGAATTTCAGAATTTCGCCAGAAATAGCAGTCTGTCTTACATGGAAAAATTGTCGTTGTTGGAGGGGACAGTCTGCAGATTTTGGCAGATGGCGAAGTTTATGATCCACAGGAAGATGATTGGACTGGGATATCTTCTATGGTGACCCCACGATGTCATTTTGGATTATGTGCTCATGAAGGTTACCTCTATGCCTTCGGTGGTAGGACGAAGGGATGTGATTACATATCCCCAAATATTGAAAGATATGATCCTTTTGCAGATGAGTGGAGATTATTAGAGTCAAATATGCCAAAAGTTATATCCCAGTAAGTACTGTT